CCCCGCGCCCCGCACGCACCCGCATTCTGGCTGTATACCTCTATCAGGCGGTTGGCACGATACCATCCGGCTTTGTCATAGCCGTCGTCCTCCGCCGGCCAGCCACCCGCGCCGCCGCTGCCCGCCGCGCCGCCCTCGCCCCAGAAGGCGTCCGCGTCCCGGTCACCTTCCAGCAGCCACGCGAGTGTGCCGTCCCCGTCGTCACCCGGCAGCCACCAGTCGTCGTCGGCGGCGGCCGCCGCGGCGGGCACGGGGGTGGTCGGGGCGGCCTGCGCCTCGTCACCCCGGTGGGGCTCCTAAGAGGTGCCGCAGTAAGTCATGACAATCGAGGGACGTGCGTTCATGAGTATGGGCATGATTTCGACCCGTCGCGACACAGTGCAGCGCAGCTTTGGATGATCAAACCCGTCTGAGCACGGGTGCACAGACACACGAGCACTAGGCGAAATAGCGCGGGCACACACACAAGAGCCGCCGCGCAGCACCACGACCCCACCAGCCCGGCGCGCACCCGCAGCAGCCCAGCGCCAGCCAGCAGGTCGACAAACTGCATGCGCGCCCCCCTGACAGCTCGCAGCTCCCTCTCAGACAGCAGGGATTCAAACAGCACAGAGGACCGCGCCCTCTGGTCCTTGTAAATGGCGCAGATCTGGCTGTACAGCTGTCGATTCAAAAATTTGAAAAGGGTGACCGGCAAGGGGTCGAAGCGAAGCGTCAGCAGGCAGGCACGAGCGCCCGTGGCAGGTCGCTCAGAAGGCCCGCCTCGCGCAGATGTTGCTGCCGCACGCCTCGGCATCTCTTGCTAGGCGCTGCCCATCCCCGCCCCAGGTGACACCCATTGTGTGCCCGGGCTCGTCATTCCAGCAGCCCCAACCAGGTTTGATCCCGAGACCCCACCTTGAAAATCTTCACCGCAGCCAAGTGGTCGCTCACAGTGCCGATGTCCGCGTGGCTGCCAGTCAGCAGCCTCATGGCCCCGCGTAGCACACCCTGCCGCGCGGCCAGCGCCGAAGGGTCAAACCCCTTCGCCGCCGCCGCCCCCTTCGCAGCGCCGCTCGCCCCCCGGTCAGACGCAGGCGCGCCCCCGCCGCCGCCCCCGTCGTCGCTGCTGCTGCCGCCGTCGGGGCCGCCGTCGGCGCCGTCGGCGCCTGGCTGCCGGCCCCTGCGCCGCGCCCCAAAGAACACGAGCTCCTTCTCCCTTATCATGTCACCCGGCCACGGTTCCAGCCGCCGCGTCGACAGCCGCACCCCCCCATCCCCATCTCCACGCGCCCAGCCCCGCCACCCCCGCCCGCCGCGGCCGCGGCTCGCCTGCTGAGCCGAGAAAGTCACGAGCGCGACGACCCTCGACCCCGGCGGCAGCAGGCGGGG